GTCTCTGGTGAAGCCTCTCGCCGCCCCTGAGCCTCTGGCCTGTACCCCAGTTCTGTATGCACAAATAAATAAATCTTTAAAAAAAAAAAAAACAGAGGGATCACCTTGAACTTGTTAAAACAGCAAAATCAAGGGGGAGTAGTAAAAATAATTCCCTTCCCCATTGTCATTCTGCTTATCTGGGGTTTGGCCCATAAACATGCTGATGTGATTCCATCCATAAGATCAGAGGACCATAGTTGCCCTACCAGTTCCACTGATCTGGAACCCCAATATCATGTTGACAGCCAGCAAAAAGCCAGGAGGCAAGTGTGAGCAATGAAGCCAAGAGACACCCCTTCCTCCCCCCCGCAAAAGCCTACATGGCCAGTTTTATATCCAGACATGGCTGTTTTACTCCATCCTTAGGTCCCAGTACACTTCCTTTTGGTGATGCTGGGATGTGTAGTTCTGGTGTCTGGTGTGGTGGTGGAGTCCACAAAACCTGTATCTGTAGAGTTTGTTCAGGACATCCTTTCCCCCTAACAGTGTTAGGTTGCAATAATTCAATCCCATATTTTTTAAAAGGCTATGGAACTGGAAGTAATTAGATTTTGCATAGAACACAATATAGAAATTAGATCTGTGGTACCTATTTAGTGTAACCCCTCTGAGAATGTCAGTGCAAATAAGCAGTGTGATTCATACTTGAGTCTGTTTTTGTTTTATTTTTTTTAAAGATTTATTATTTATGCATACAGAACTGGGGTACAGGCCAGAGGTGCAGAGGTGGTGAGAGGCATCACCAGAGACAGAGTGGGGAACAGATCAGGCAGATCGATGAAGTACTCTGCTGAGGGGAGCAGCGGGTCAAGAGAGGTCTGCCTCGCTATGTGGTCACCTCTGGGGCAGGCGGGGATGGAACTCATGATGAAGTGACTTTAGCTTCTTAGTGCTGTGTTTTAGCCTGCTGCACCACCAGGGAGGGCCTGTTTTTGTTTCATTTTATCCAAAATATGTCTTCATTGTTTTAGAGAAACATACTTGAAAATGTTCCTATTGTTTTCTTGTCTTAAAAATGACCTTTTATCCCAAGGAGAAGTAGATTATGGTATTATTTCTTAGTTTATTCACCATATTCCTGCTTATTAAAGGGATCTTTACTCCTATCTCTGATAATGACTGACACCTACCCTGATTCTCTGCAGAATTAGGATGTTATCAAGATCAGGGGAGAAAAGGAGGAGAATAGTAAAAATTTACAAAATTATTTTCTTAAAGTGTAGGATTTCTGAGGATGTCCCATCCCAATTTCTGAGCTAATGGAGCTTACCCAAACACAAAAGAGTAAGTTTTATTAGGAAGAAATAATTGTAGTGTCTTATTTAAATACATGGAAGCTTGATAGAAAAAGTCTGTGTGTACCTAGGTATTACGTTGAGTTTTGTTTTTAGCTTTTCTTTTCTTCCTTCAAAATTGTTTTTCTTCCCAGTCCAGTACCTCAGGGGCATGCACTACATCTTCTTTTACTTTTCATCTGTTGTTATTGCAGTTTTATGTGTGGAAATATTTATATCTTTTTCTTTCTTTCTTAGTGCCATAGACCTTTTTCATGTAGGTAGCCTGGAAAAGAGGGATTCTCTTTTCCTCTATGACAAGTTGGTTTTCAGAGGATAGGAGTCATTATAGAAAAGTTATCTTTTTGGTTCAGAGAATAAACTTGATTCATAGTTAATGTTGAATAATTTTTTAGGATTAAAATCAATTAAGATATGTGTAAGGGGCTGTGGTCTTACTTTACCCTTTTAGAAGTTAATAATTAACCTGCTGGCAGAAGATGGGAGATTCATATCTGAGACAAAAAACTATTATTCATTGCCTAATATATGACAAGGCAAGCAGCATAGACATAGCTTTGCATGAGTCCCTCTGTTCTACCTTCCCCAAATCCCATCTAAATGACCCGAATGGGTCAAGATGGATGCCTACTGAGCTTAGACAATCCATTGTTTTCATAGTAAGTGGTAAGCACACTTTGTTACCCTGGAGGAGATATTGCTTCATCCTTAGAGCTGCTCTTTGCAAACACAGTCCTGAGAAGTGACTTATGTAAGAAGTTTGCAAGGCACACAGGGTTGAGATACCCAAGGAGGAGTAGCTCTCCCTACTAAGTTTATGTAATAGGTAATTGAAGGAAATCATAGAAAAAAATTATTATGAAATATCTGTGGTACAAAAATGCACATAACGAATACCCATAGTCACTTCCCAACTTGAGAAGCAAGCATTATCTATGCAGTGGAAGTTTCCTGTGGATCCTACCTGTATCCTCAGGTAAATGCTGCTGAATTTGTTGTGTCATGCCAGTGCATTCCTCTGTATCTCCTATTATCACACAGTATTGTTTTACATGTTTATAAATGTCTAAAAAATGTCATTATCTCTGAAAAAATAGTTGAAAATCATAGTACCATTTTGGGCATTGTAGAAAGAAATTGGAATGAAAAATTCTTACATGTTATAATGTAATGGACCAAGTTAAAAAAAAAAAACCTAGTAAAAGGAAAAGATGTTCACCCAAAAAACAGTAAACCATATATAATTCAATCATCTAATGTATGAAAGAACTAGCTATAATTAAGGATGGAGAGCAAAACATAGTTCATTATTCAAGTGGAAAATGGTGACACAGGAGAGGGTCACCTCTCCTGAGGAAATGGCTTTAAATTGCTTCCATCAAGAAGATGGGAGAAGGGAGCTAGGAGTAATAGTAAAGCAGCAGTGTTGCTAACCCACCGAGGGGCACGCCGACCGCTATGTTTGCCCCAGTGCAGGAGACTCTGAGACACGAGAGAATGAAGCAAGCACCTGGGGTCTGGAATCTGGAGTCTGTTTATTAGGATCGCCCATGGGTATATATAGGGTCTGTACATGCAGGGAAAAACAGAAAATATGCTCGATGCAGGGAGTGGGGTGCATGTTTGTACTGGGCCTGGAGCTTCTTGTAGCCTCTACTTGAAGCAAAGTAGTGGGCTGCAGCTGTTTGCAAGACAGTGCACTGTGCTCTGCTGACTGTTGGCCTTACTGGGGAGTGTGCTCACCCATGCACAACATTAGCCAGGGCGGACAGGTGCACTTAAGGTTCTGTCAAGTTAGCCACAGAACAGGGCTGTTTACTGAGAGGGATGAGGCTCATCATTCTGTTGGATTTTGATTGGGAGGGATAAATCTAAGTTAAGCTCCAGATTCCAAAGACCCCACATCAATTGAGCAGGGATGGGAACACTTACGAATATAAGAGAACATGCTACGGCCTTCTAGATTATGACCAAAATGTGTGTTACAGATCCCAGGATGATAGACGAGTTTAATGTAACTTGGTAGCAGTCAGGGAAAGAAAATCTCACTGAAAAGTTTGGAGTTAGGCTTTGACTAGCAGCTGGTGATTTGGACAGTGCTTTGGGGAAGGGAGTGGGCTGTGAGAGCACAAGAGCAAAGAGTAGAGACAGTGAGTGTGGAGTAGTCAGAAGACTCACTTGCGTGAACTATTTGTATCCAAGTCATTTGACCTGTAGAGTTTCCCCATGTGGGTTTTGCTGAGTATCCACATGGTGCAGTTCAGCAGCTTTCCTCTATCTTCTGTATTTTCTGTAAATTAGCAGCTGGACCCAGTCGCATGGAAAGACTATAGATGTGTTGTGTGCTCTGTTATCACATCAGTGCAGGAGTGTATAAGGCCTGGATTTCGTTTCACCCTATTTACCCAGCCATGATTAGCCTGTTAGTGTTTCATATCCAAAACTCATAGAGCTCCCTTTTGTGTTTCAAGTAGTGTAAAAATGAATATAATGGCTCCTTTCTGAGATGTCCTGGTTTGTAAATTATCCCATCCCCAACACACGGTTTCATTCTTTTCCTTCATTTCTGCTGTCGTTATCTTGCTTGCTTTGGATTCTTTTCCCAGCAGTGTTTTCTCAGTGTGATGGCCCTTGCAATGGAAGGAGCCTTGCCTAGTTGCGTGAATTTATGACGACTGCTCCACTCATTTGGGTCTCATTGGCGGCCCTTTGTAGTGGATAAAATCACCCCCACTTTCAGTTGCTGTTCTCAAATTGTCCTACCTTGTTTTTATTTAGCCCTTGCTTTCCTTTGGGGTGCTTCTGTTCCCTGGCCCATTAGGCACACCCTTGCTTCCCTCTGTGTTGATCTGCACAGCCATTTCCATAGCATAGCACTCATGTTTTATGACTGATGATGTTTTTTTTTCCCTCTCTGCTTTGTATAGGGGGATTTATGAGGATGCTGTACCTTCTAGTTTTGCTTTAAATGTTATCCATATGCTTTTTTGTGTTGCTATATAGTTGCCCTATATAGCTGGGGTACAGGATAGAGGTATGAGGGGCAGGTGAGAGGATTCATCAGAGACAGAGAGGGGAGCAGAACAGGAAGATTAACTGAAACACACTGCTGAGGGAGCAGCAGACAAGACAGGAGAGGTCTGCTGCACCATGTGGGTCAGCTCCCTGACTGGGGATTGAAATCACACTGCAGTGGCTGTGTATAGCTTCATAGTGCTGAGACTTAACCTCTTGCACTACCAGGGAGGCCCCTGTTCTATCTTTTTATTTGGGTGTTAAGGAATATTAAAAGACTGGTCCCACTGTTGTAGCATTCCTTAGTATCCCCACTGTAGAAAGTTGATGCAATTATGAGTGAAATGGTAGATTTCACTTAACATTTTATATAGCATAGCATATGGTCTCTTTGTCCTGTGCTTGTCCTTTAACGTTTTTTCCTCTCCAAGTTTGTGTTATCAACTATAATACATAGTAAGCAGCTCCCCGTGGAAATAAATAGTTTCTATTATCTCTCTCTTTAGGTTCACTAAGAATCTTTCCCCGGATAAAATCAATTTAAGCACCCTGAAAGGGGAAGGTCAGCTGACTAACCTGGAGCTGGATGAAGAGGTTCTGCAGAATGTGCTGGAGCTGCCCACCTGGCTCGCCATCACCAGGGTCTACTGCAACAGGGCTTCCATTCGGGTGAGAATGGGAGTTAGAATGCTCTTGCTCTCTGCTGGGCTGCCTTCTTGAGGGGTGACTCCCATAACCCTGACTCTTTGTTTTCTTATTTTTCTGTTTTCCTTTTCAGATCCAATGGACAAAGCTGAAGACACATCCTATTTGCTTGGTAATGACCTTTCTTTATTACGAGTAGTCAAATAGTCTTAGGGTAGAGTTTTAAAAGATCTGAGAGAAGATGGGGAGGAGTCCTGATAGGTTGTTCCTTTTGGGAATTGAGGGAGCTTTTCTCTAGCCTGTGAGCTTCTCCTCAGGATCCAGGAGTTCTGAGTTGTTTTGTTTGTTTTTCATAACAATTTTTGCTACCCAGGTTCTACCTTAGATTCCGCCTTTATCCCTTGGAATACTGACATAGAAAAAATTAGTTCATATTGACTATTAGGTGCTTATCATATGAAAACCTTTCATGAATCGATTGATGTGTATGACACTGAAATCCTTAGGAATAGTAGTATGTCTGTAACTTGGATTTATGTTTTAGTTTTCTGTTGTCAGCTAATCCCATCCTTGTTGTGGAGTCCTGCCCCTGAGTGGAAGTGGAAGTGTGATGATGAGGCCTCTCCTTTCATCTTAGTTTTTTCACTCACTCATTTAACAATTATTTATTGCCTACGTACTGTGGACACAACACTCAACTAGGCCTTGTAACAGTTTGTGCTCCGTGGGTTTTTGTGCAGATACTTATTTAGCTCTTCATGGCTTTTATTTCAGTGTCTGGATAAGGTAGAGGTGGAGATGAAGACATGTGAGGAACCTCGACCCCCAAATGGACAGTCTCCTATTGCTTTGGCTTCAGGACAGAGGTTAGTTGCTTTTGGTTCCTATTACTTCCAGCTATTAACTGGTCCAGGTCACCTTTTAGTTAAAAAAATAAAACTTTCTTCTTTTCTTCTTTTTTTTTTTTGTACAATGCATGTTTTCCCCTCTCAGGTGTAGTTCCTGTAAAATTCCCACTACCAATTAACCTGTGAACCATCACTATTATTCCTTATACTCTTCCCTCCCCTGTTTTGATTCCTCTGCCTTTCCATCACTTGCAGAATGACTCTGATTTATAGTTGCCACCTAATTTTATTATTGCTTTTTTTCCTGATCCCTTGTTTGTTTCCCCCATATTTCACCTATAAGTGAAACCATCCAATATTTTTCTTTTTACTTCTGGATTATTTCACTGAGCACAATCCCTTCCAGTTCCATCCAATGAACTGTTGCTGCAATGACGTGGGTTTATTATTTTCATTGTTGAATAATATACCATTGTGTATATATACAACAAATCTTTTTGATGCAGTCATCTATTTTTGCACATTTGGGTTGTTTCCTTATCTTGTCTATTATATATAATGCTGCCATAAACAGGTTTGTAAGTATCCTTTTTGAGTTAATGTTTTTGTGTTCTTTGGGAAGATTCCTAGGAGTAGAACTTCTGGGTCATGTGGTATATCTACTTTTAGTAATTTGAGGGTCCTCCACACAGGTTTCTGTAGTGGTTGGACTGGTTTGCATTCCCACATTCTCCACATCCCCGTCAACATTTGTTGTTGCCTGTTTTTCTAAATATGTGCAATTCTCATTGGTGTAACTCACTGTAGTTTTTTGATTCGCATTGCCCTCATTATAAGTAATACTGAACATTTTTTTCATCTGTTAGCCTTTTGTATTTCCTCTCTGAAGAAGTGTCTTTTTTTTTTTTTTTAAAGATTTATTTATTTGTGTATACAGAACTGGGGTACAGGTCAGAGACTCAGGGGCGGCGAGAGGCTTCACCAGAGACAGAGTGGGGAACAGAATAGGCAGATCGACGAAGTACACTGCTGAGGGGAGCAGCGGGCAGGTCAGGAGAGGTCTGCCGCGCCATGTGGTCACCTCCGGGGCAGGCGGGAATCGAACTCATGCGGAAGCGGCTTTAGATTCTCAGTGCTGTGCTTTAACCCGCTGCGCCATCAGGGAGGGCCTGAAGAAGTGTCTTTTTAATCTTTTGCCCATTTTTTTTTATTTCAAAAGTTTATTTTTACATCATTTTGTACATTTTTTTTTCATCTCAATTGTAATCCCCGCGGGTTTCCCATCACCAAGTCACCCATGTGCCATCACCATAATCCCGTGCATTTCCCTCCCCCCACCCCGTTTTTGATCCCATTCCCCACTCCACCCCCACAAAATGTCTCTGGTATATGGTTGTTCATTATTTTTGTTATTTTCCACCTGGTCCATTATGCTCCTGCTATGAATGAAACCATCCGATATTTTTCTTTCTCTTTTTGGCTTATCTCACTAAGCATGATCTTTTCCAATTCCATCCAAGTTGCTGCAAAAGGTCTTTTGCCCATTTTTTTTTGGACTGGATTGTTTACATTGTTTTTGTTTAGTCGTCCAAGTTCTTTTTAGATCTTTGTGATCAGTTCTTTATCAGTTGTATTAAAAAATAAAACCTTTTTAAATTCAGTCACTTGAGGGACCTTTTTTTGTAGTTTTGGCTATTGTGAATAAAGCTGTTTTGAATATTTATATACATGCATTTTTATTTCTCTTGAGTAAATACCCAGGAATGAAATGATTGTGTAGTATGGTAGGTGAGGTTTTCATTTTTAAAGAAAAGTCATACTTTTCCTGAGTTGCTTACTGTTTTGCATTCTTTTTATATTCAGTGTACTTTTACATTTCTCAATTTTTTATATCCTTCATTTGTATTTACTTTTAAAACGTTTTGTTGTGCATTGAATTTCATAGACTTTTTGTTATTCAGATGTCTCCATCCTTGGGCAGTGAGAGCCTTTCAAACTTTGATATTTTTAAATTTAAAAAGTTTTAATTTTTATTTAATATTTGTATTTTTTTTAATATTTGTATTTTTATTGATACTCTGATTCTTGGTTCCTAACCATAATACTACAACAAATGATTTACCTTCTGATATTTACAAGAAACAATAAAACCAGTTTTATAGCTGTTGATAAAGCTGCTGAAAGTGGACTTATGTGTACGTGTACTTTAGCTTTATGATATATCCCATTAAGAATGTATGTTTGGCCTCCCTGCTGGTGCAAAGGTTTTGTATACAGCACTGCAAGCTTCAGTGCAAGTTTGATCCCTGACCCTGGAGGTGATTCACATGGCACAGCAGACCTCTCCTGTCTCTCCCGCTGCTCTCCTTAGCAGTGTACTTCATTGATCGGCCTATCCTGCTCCCCACTCTGTCTCTGGTGAAACCTCTTCATTACCCTTGCACCTCTAGCCTGTACCCTAGTTATGCATATATAAATATCTTTAAAAAAAAATAAAGAGTTTATGTTCAAGGGCCTCCCTGGTTGCGCATGAGGTTAAGTCTCAGAACTATGCTATGCCACTGCAGCACAAATTGAATACCCTGCCAGGGAGCTGACCCACATGGTGCAGCAAACCTCTCTTGTCTCACCCACTGCTCTTCTCGGTGTATTTCAGTCAGTCCACCTGTTCTGCTCCCCACTCTGTCTCTGGTGAATCCTCTCACCCCCAAGTCCCTCTGAACACTGTTCAGAATCCCGTGTTTTAAAGTCACTTGGAAAAAAATGGTAGAAAAAAAGTTGTCACTTGAAGTTATTCTTTATATGTCTTGATATCAATTTATCATATAGAGAAGTTTCCATTTTTTAATATAATTTTTAAAAAAAGATTTATTTATTTATGCTTACAGAACTGGGATACAGGCCAGAGGTGTGGTGGGTGAGAGGATTCACCAGAGACAGAGTGGGGAGCAGAATAGGCAGATGGACTGAAATACACTGCCGAGGGGAGCAGTGGGCGGGTCACGAGAGGTCTGCTGTGCTGTGTGGGTCACCTTCAGGGCTGGGGATCAAACTCACGCTGAGTAGCTTTTAGCTTTTTAGTGCTGTGCTTTAACCCACTCTGCCACCAGGGAGGGCCTTTAATATAATTTTTTATAAGTAATTTTTGTTTCACAATAGAAGTGAAAGGAATGTACAGAGATTTGATGGCCCACACTCCCCAAGCTCTCACACATGTGTAGCTTCCCCATTGTAATGGTCTCCCATCAGAGCAGTACATTGTTACAGTAGGTGAAACTACATCGACACAATCACCCACGTCCATAGATTACACTAGGGTTCTGTATTTGTGCTACATCTCATAGATTTAGACAAATATATCATGACACCTACCTATCGTTGTATCATACACTCTGCTTTAACCTCCTAAAGCTCTGCCTATTCATCCCTCTCCCAACCTCTCACCTCCCAATCCTGGCAATTTCTGGCAACCCCTGGTCTCTCTAGTTTTCTTCTTCTCTAAAATGTCACATATTGGCCCTCCCTGGTGGTGCAGCAGGTTAAAGCACAGCACTAAGAGGCTTAAGCCACTTCTGCATGAGTTCGATTCCCGCCTGCCCCGAGGAGATCCACATGGCCACATGGCGCAGTAGACCTCTCCTGGCCCGCCCGCTGCTCCCCTCAGCAGTGCACTTCATCAATCTGCGTGTTCTGCTCCCCACTCTGTCTCTGGTGACTCCTCTCACCCTCTGCATCTCTGGCCTGTACCCCAGTTCTGTATGAATAAATAAATAAATTTTAAAAAGAAAATGTCATGTGTCTGGCACTATGCAGTATTTTATCTTTTCAGATTGGCTTCTTTAATGTTTAAATATTAAGTATTTAGTATTTAGTAATATGCACTGAAGTTCTTCCATATCTTTTCATGGCTGTATAGCCTTTTTTTTTTTTTAGGTACTGAATAATACTTGATTGGGTGTAGCACAATTTATTTAACCATTCATCCACTCTAGAACATCTTAATTGCTTCCAAATTTTGGTAGTTATTAATCATCTGCTATAAATGCCCTTGTCAGGTTTTTTTAATAAAAGATTTATTTATTCATGCATATAAGAACTGGGATTTAGGTCATAGGTATGGGTGTGGTGAGAATTCACCAGAGACAGAGTGAGGAGCAGAACAGGAGGGTTGACTGAAATACACTGCTGAGGGGAGCAGCGGGGGAGCTAGGTCTGCTGTGCCATGTGGGTCAGCTTCCTGCCCGGGGACTGAGCTCATGCTGTTGTGGCTATGGATAGCTTCATAGTGCTGCCCGTTATCTAACCCCCTTGTATCACCAGAGATGTCCCCCTTGTCAGGTTTTTGTGTTTTAAATCTTTGAGTAAATATGAAGGTACATAATAACTGAATCATATAGTAAGAATATGTTTAGTTTTGGAAGAAACCATCCAACTGTCTATTTGGGTGATTGATTGTATCATTTTTCTTGTGTTCAAGTTTTTGACTCTCCTTTCTTATACAAAATACAACATCTTATAGCAAAATGTAGCAATTTCCCAAATTGCTATTTTCTTTAAAAGTATATTCTGCAGTTCTTTCTGTTCCATATCTTTGCCAGCTTGTAGTGGTGTCAGTGCTTTGGATTTTTGCCATTCTGATAGGTGTGTAGTGACGCTTCATTGCTGTTTTAATTTATATTTCCCTGATCACACATGATGCAGAATGTTTTTTCACATTCTCCTCATCCCTGTAATTTCTTTGGTGAGAGAGTAATTGTCTTTGGCCAACTTTTAAATTGGTGATGTTTGGTATTGGTTAGTTTGAAGAGGGTTTTTTTGGAAAGTATGTTTTGGGTAATAGTCTTTTATCATCTATATATATTACAAATATTTTCTTCCTATATGTGAGTTATCTTCTCATTCTCTTGACTTTGTCTTTTATAGGGCAGACATTTTTAACTTCAGTAAGTTAGCTTAACCATTATTTCTTTCATGAATTGTGCCTTTTGTTGGTGAAAATCATATTCTAGGAGTTTTAT